AAACAAAAAGGAAAAAAAAAAATAAAAGATACCTCATGGCATCTATAATAATAAATTCCATGTGGATTAAAAAAGGTGAAACATAAAGCTACAAAGTTATTAGAATAAAACAGGAGAATATCTTTTTGAACTTTGATTAGGGAGTACATTCTTTTGAAAAGGGAGGTTGATAAATTTGACCTCAAAATTTAAAATTTATATGACAGAAAGCAAGTAAAAATTTTGTAGGACTGAATGAAGAGATTTGCATCATGTATAAAGGACTCCTATATATCGGTAGCCAAGGGAAACTACTGGAAAGAGATATGGTAGAGAATATGAGCAGATAACTTACAAAAGAGGTAATAAAAACAGCCAGAAGTATATAAAAGATGCTCAACATCACCAGTATCTGGAAACTTCAAATTAAAACAAAAATGAGACATGACATGCTTTTTACCCCCAACCTATTAGATGGGTAAATTTTTAAAAAGTCTTAAAACATCAAGTGTTGACTGGAGGGGTCAGGAAACATATTCTCATATATTGCTGAAAATGTAAGTTATTACTGTCACTTTGGAGTGGAATTTGGGGTATCTCTTGACAAAGCTGGGTTTATTCCGAGAATGCAAGGTTGAATTCACATTTGAAACCAAGTTAGTGTTATTAATTCAATGCGTTAACCAGAAAAAGGAGAAAAATATTATCATCATTTTAGTAGATGATACAATTAAAAAAAATTCATGAAGAACAATCTTAGCCAACTAGGAATAGAAGGAAACTTCGTCTGACAGAGGGTATCTACAAAAAATCAACGGCAAATATTTTATTTAACGGCGAAATATCCAAAGCTTTCCCTCTAACTCTGGGGATGAGGCAATGATGCTTGCTGTCTCCATTTCTATTCAACACAAACGTCCTGATGAGTGTAATAAGGCAAGAAAAAGAAACAAAAGGTATAAAGTTTGGAAAGGAAGGAAACAAAAAGATAATTTCTTTCTTGATCTGGACTGGATGCTGATTACCAGCATGTGTTTACTTTGTGATATTTTGGCTGGCTTTGCACTTTGATTTGTGCACTTTTTAGTACAAAGTTTATTACAAACACAAAAACGCAGATCTCTACTCGTTGACATGTAAATGTGCCTATAATATAGTACCAAGTGGTAGAAAAACAGGGTGTAAAACTTTGTTTTGATTCTATTAAAATATAGGTCTCATACATAAAAAAATGTTTGTATATGTGAAGAATATCTTCGGAAGGATATACACGAAATGTATAATACTGGTTGTCTCTGGGGAGTGGAACTGAGAAACTGAGGGTGACCAGCATTTCATTGTGTACCCTTTTGTCTATCTAAAATTAAAAATAAAAAAGTAAAATTGTATGTGCATGGTTTCCCACAGTGCCTAGCTTAAAGGACAACACTCATTTGAATGTACAATGTGTTGTATGTTTCAAAATAAAATAATTATTTCATTACTTTATAATAGCTTACTTATAAACAAAAAAACAAACCTGAATACCTCAATTAAAAATCCCATTAAATTTCTCAGTAAAGAATATATANAAAAAACAAACCTGAATACCTCAATTAAAAATCCCATTAAATTTCTCAGTAAAGAATATATAATTATTTAGAGATATAATTGCTAACATTAAATGGAATATTCTATCTGCTCCTAAAGTTTGTTATTTGGATGCCACTATCAACTTTTGGGGTGTACTTGGCAAGTTTTAAAAATGGTGATATTTAACACTTGCACACAATTAAACGCAATGGCTTACTGTGCTTTATAGTTTACAGTTTTATCATTCAAATTAGTCATTGCTTCCCAAGTGCATTTAAAAACTGTCCAATTCCTTGGACCATACCTGACATGTAGTTTGTGTCCTAGCAGTACAGCACTGAGTACACTTCATGGTGTACTAATGCTTACTAAATGGTAAGACTGAGTACTGTGTGATTCTGTTTGATTCTATCTGTTATCACTCCATGAGGCTCAACAACACACTCTATGGAACCATAATCCTTCTGCTGTACTCATATATTGTTTCAATAATTTTTCACTACCTGAGCCAAGGGCTCTTTTCCTTCTAGATTACTGCAAGGCCAATCTCTGACCCATGAAGCAGTAGGTAACATCAATCTTGCTAAGCTCACACTCCTATGTGGAAGGAAACTTCCATTTTAAGGGAAGTCTACTTGCCATTACAGGTACTATGATGTTAGTTCAGTGTTAGAAAGATCTACCTCTTGGTGTGTCTTGTGAGCAAGTTACTTAACTGAGACTCAGTTTCCTCATTTGTAAAATGGGGATAACAAAAGTAATTATGCCTCGTGGTGATTGTGATGATTAAATGAGGCAAGAGGAATAAATGCCTACTTGGTACAATTCATATCACCTACTATTTTTCATTCTTATAACCTAATGAGCTCCTACTTATTAAGTAAATACTTAATGCATCAGACTACACTTTGTGTGGGGGATACAGTGGTTTTGGTTCTTAAGAAGTTTTGGACCTGGGGAATATTATTTATTTATGTGAAACAACAAATGAACAATTAATATATGTATTAAAGATGTTAAGTTGGGGCTGGCCCGGTGGCGCACTGCTATAGTGCGCCACTTGGGAGCGCGGCGG